TCAGTCTCTCCAGATGAAAAAAGAGCCAAAACATCAGTGTTAGAAGGCTCCTGTTACATGCCTCTTTGGGGGGTCTATTTGCAGGGGCATACTATCGAGTCAAGCTGGAGATATTGCCCCTCGGAGCATCACTAAACCCGCGGCATACGCCAGGAGAATTCGGCTGGACCCGTGCCGTCCAAAACTCACCTGATGAATCGCGCGTCGGCGCAAAAACAGGGTCAGCCACATCACCTGCTCTCTCGGCCCCATGGTATGGAGATGGTCAGGTTTCAATGCTGATGAGCAATCAAGGTCAAAACAGTCCTGAAACCTTGTAATTTCAACATACTCATCGGACCCATTGCAAGGTCAGGCAGGCATTCCGCCATGCTGTTCAGGGCAAGCCCCCTACCAAACAGAATGACACGCAGCTGGATCCGTGCACAAAGAAAAGACTGCTTCATTGGAACCCTTTCTGACCCTGTCTGACCCTTTCTATCCCTTTCTGACCCTTTCTGACCCTTTTGCACCCTTTCACTTCTCGTACTTCTAGACTCCCCGAAGGCCAAACCCCCGCGAGCCTTCCAACCGCCCCTCTCTGGCCCGTCGCCTCTATCAGCCGCTCACCGCTGCCGACCGAGGCGTCCGAGCTCAGGTGGCTCCTTGCGCTGGCGAAGGCTCCCCCGAATGGCCTGCGTCAAAATCGGGGACCCCGCAAATTGGTGGTTTTGCCTTTTGGTTTCCCTTTCAACCAAGGTGTGATGCTTCCAAGGGACGCTTGCAGAGTGCGAAAACAAAGCGCAGGACTCCCGTTTTGTCAGTTGACACTGTGTTCAAAGGGGCAGGAGAGCCAACGCTGCTGGGCCAAGAACCCCAACAAACGACAGGATCGCAGTTTCCGAATGGGTGTTCCTCAACAAACGAGCTCCGAGTATGGTGCCGTGAACATCATCCACAACAGGGTCCTGAAATTTAGACAACACCCGCGTTCGGAAAAGGGCAACAAACCACTCCGGAAGAAAACACCCAAACAGCCAAGCCAGGGCCAAACAAAGCGAATCTGCCAAGCTCCTCAATTACTACAGCACCCAAATGCATACTCATCCCACATAGAAGCCAACGTGCTCCACCGTTTGCCAACCCAATCCTGTCCGCATCTTGGGCACCAAACCCCCGGGCCCCGCCCTCCGTCTCCTGGTGTGTGTTCGGGTGGGCCGCTCCGAGCCCATCTTCTCCGGGAGCTGCCGCACCGAGCCTGCCAGAAACCCTAAGGTTGCTTTCCCATGCACGCCTCACACCAAGGGTTCAAACCCCAAACCGCCAATCCAACCACCAAGCAGCAGTCACCGGACGCATATACAGGGGAATCCCAGCGGTCACCCCCTTTGGCAAACTTGGGTTGTGAAGGCTCACCGGCTTGCAGCCGTTTGAACTATCAAGGGAAACGGCTATCTGCTTTTCCCCGTGTATCAGGGTCATGCGAGGATTCTTACTCCCATTCCACGCTGCTCCTGCTCAAAAATCCTTCACCCATGTTTTCTTCGAACGGGATCATTCAACCATAAATGAATTGAGAACAGGGGGAGCAAAAAGACCCCCCCAACCATTTCCTCTTTGCAGTTTCCCCTTTCACAGTTTGCTTAAAGTAGTAGGGACATCGCTTCTTGCGTGAGTGAAACACAGTTCTATAAAGAAGCCCAGGAGCCAGTCACGGCTGCAGAATTGCCTTGCTTCAAAAGGCTGCATAATTCCGTGCAGGAAACTTAATTCAGATCCCCAGAATCAGAAGGCGCAGGTCCAATCCGTCAGAGAGTCCGATGGCCACACTCATACGGCCTTGCTTCAGGCAGCAACCGGGCCCAGAGATGCAGCTCAGGAAACACACACCGAGCATGGACGGCAGGAGGTGCGCATCCCACCACACAGCAGAAGAACTGGCCCTGTGCTGTGCAACATGTCGTGAGAGCGACACATCAAAGCAAGTTCCCCAGGCTTCCGTATTGGCCTGCACAGGTCCGCTTTCGCATGGTGTGTGTTTGGGACCCCACGGAAAATCAACCGTCTTGACTATGTTTGCGGCTTCAATTAAAGTTGGGACCCGGTTTTCAATTCAGATGCGGTTGCCTCAGCTGAGAAAGCGCCCCGAACTCGCGCCAACCCAGCCCTTCAGCTCTGCGGGCCCCCCGAGTTTCTCCGGGCCGCCGGCGCGGATCATTTTTGCCAACGCCCCGAACGACCCCAGGAGTTCTGTGCGTTCATGTGGGGTGGGGTGGGGTGGGGTGGGGATGATAGCATAGGTTTGGCCTCTTCGCCCACACTCGAGACGTAGAACACACGGGGTGGTTGCCGGCTGGGGCGGTTGGCTTGATTGTGGCGTTGCTCGAACATTTATTTGGATAGCATTATCACTTTACACTTGCTGTGCTGTGCATTGTCTGACAGGGAGGTCCCGTGATGCTGCCCGGGGCTGAGAATCAAGGGAGCGAGCGTGGCAGCGCTTGCTGCAAATGCTGGATGTGATGCTTGTTCCAGTGTTTCGTGACAGAACCTGCTGGAGTAGTGGTATTTGTGGTGTTTCGTGACATACTGAAGTTGACAACATATGCAGAATCCCTGCTTCTGTCCGAGGCACTCATTCTGAAGCGTCCAAAATCATTTCGGTCACTGCAAACGGCTTTGCCTTGCTTTTGCTAGGCCCATTTAAGGCAGGGCGTTCGTTGGATTTGGACTAGGGTTTGGAGCGGTTTAGGGTGGGCTTTGGGTTGGTGGTGGGTTTGAGGTGGGCTTTGGGAAGGTTCGTGCTGGGCCTAGAACGGGGTCATGGTTGGTTCAAGGCGGGCTTGCGGTGTTTGGGCGTTTGGGCTGGCTGTAGGGTGGGTTAAGGGTGGGGAGGTGTTAGGAGGGGTTTAGGTTTTTCGGAGCGACCCGCCTCTGAAAGGAGCAGCGTCTCGGGAAAACAAGCTCGCGCGTTCGAGTTTTAGCTATCTCTCCAAGAGCCTGACAGAGCAACGCATTCTGCACTGAGAAGGGCAGCTTGGCTATCCAAAACTACCGAAGAAGTACAACAAAACAAGTCAGCGGGCGCAACATGTGTAGTTGCTCTCCATGGATTGTTTCTGAGGAAACCACCTGGATTTGGGCCGACAAAAAAACCGTGAGGAAAAGAAAAGGGAAGCTGCGTCTATTTCTGGGTGTCCCAAAATTATCACTATTGGCGTTAAACATGCTACTCGTCACCCCCACATCCTTCATGGCCTTACAAATCTCCGAAGCGATGTCCGACAACAGGAGGCGACCAACGAGATCGCGGCCTGCGTAGTCAACGTGGTCCAGGAACTTGGACGCCTGCGCTTTGGATCAAAAGCGGACACGCTCATTGAACGGAAACTGATGAAACCAAAACGGAAGCAAAGGCAAAACGACCTGGGTAAGACAGTCAAGGTAAAGGTAGAGAAATGTATGTAGTTACTGTTTGAGTTTGTCGAGATATCTAAATGTCTACTGAGCAATCCATTTATTGCTTATGCGCTTGTGTATGTTTCAAAGCCACCTAGGACCTAGTCAAAACGCGAAACACGCTCCTAGCAGTAGTGGCTGCTAGCGGAGTGTGCAGCCTTGCACCCCATACGCGTGGGAGGGAGGGGTGGCCAGTGGGGTGAGCGCCTTGACAAATCCGGCCCCCTGACGCATGGCGGGATTCGCGGCCACTTGAACAAAGGCCATGATCTGCCAGCAAGCCCCGCCACTGCAGCCAACCACAAGCGGAGAGAATCGGTAAATGAGATACTGCGGCACCTGGCCCGAGCGTCTGCAACACGAGTCATAGCCGCAAAGGAGGGCAAGGCAAATAAAAAGCTATGCTCAGTAGGAGCCAAGGTGGACAGCGCGAGGAGAACGTTCTTGAAGTGGAGGAAGGCCGGGTGGAAAGGGCCGTCCTATGGTATGCAGGAAGAAGAAATATCCGCCGAGAGGAGCACGAAGTGGTTCAAGTGTCATCTGTCATGCATCTCTTCCACAGTAATGACCATGGGTTCACGCCTTATGGGCTCGATCTGGGATGGTCATCGAGCCAATGAGTGAATCTCCATTCTTCAAACCTTTGGGATGCGCGGGGCCCTCGAGCTCTGCAGTATGTCGCAAGCAAAAAGGCAACCAGGACTGCCGGATTCCTGCAACAAACTACTTGACTGCCCCCTTGTGCCACTTTAGTCACCCTCCACCCAAAAGGTGGGAGGTTTCTGAGGGTACCCTCTTCAGGTTGGTTTACGACAAACGCAATTTTCAGGGGACCTACCTATTTTTACCTATACCCAAAAACACTCGCCGCACGTGGCGCGTCTTCCGACCAAACCGACGGGCCTGCTCCGCCAACAGCCACCGCTGCCGCGTCCGCGACATCTCTTCCGGCCCCATCGCGCTAACCAAGGCCAGGCCGGCTGGGCGATGCGTCAGGCAGAGAGCTCAAGCTGTTGGCCTTTTAGGTAGGGCTGTTTTTAGGGCATTTATTGTAATTTAGTGACCATGTCAAGCTAATGTTCATATTATCAAGAGACGTCAAGAGCAACACGGCAGGAAGCCACGATACAGCCGTGCCTTTGCTTGCAACAGCCACAACGGACCTGTCACTTCAGCTGCAAATCACGGTGGGTTGTGCTACCAGGGCCCATCTGATGCAATTGTGTAGCCACGAGAAAACCAGCCACATCTTGGTGTCCTAATTGTATGGAAACACACGCCGCTCTTTCGCACGGCCAGAAAAAAGCCATGCTCTGGAGCAGAAGAGCAGCTGCGGCCGGCAACTCTGGAGTTCGCCCGCAGCGCAGTTGTAGAAAGACACTAATGTTGTTGGTTTGTTTTCATGAGGGACTCGTTTACTCCCCTTCAGATTAACGCAGATTAACATGGAATCCCAAAAGCCATCATTTGGTGGGAACCCCCTTTGTGCGTTCCGTGTCAATCTGCAGGAGAGCCACGGAAACACCCACAAGTTCAACCGTGCATGTCACTTCTCGCCTCTTTTGACACCAGCGCTAAACCAAGTGAGTCGACACTAGCTCAGCAGCTTTGGTGATTTGAAGGGCAATGCTGCTGGGATTCTCCAATCCAGGGCTGCCCTGGGATTAGCTTGCAAGCCACCCTCTGTGGCTGTGTCACGTCGCTTCAGCGACGAACGAAGCCACCTACTACCACATGGCCAGTCTCACACATTCCAGGAAGACTCCTGCGCCGGTCAAAAAACCGTGCAAGTGAGTGGTGACCCTGGGAGGCGCGTCGCACTTGCACAAAATGGATTTTGACCTCCGAGCAAAAGCAAGAATTCCAACTCTCTGGATGAGGCATATGTATCACTCCTTGAGTTTGCGATGCATCCAATTCCTTCTGCTGACCAACGCGGTATGCGGCCCATAGGCCCAACGAATGCAGCCTCCAACATCGAGCGCATCAACCAATACTACTGGCAGGCCCCTCAAACCCCAAGCCCCTGCACGCCACCAATCCACCCCCCCGATTTGGATGCATGCGAAAGAACGCCAAGCGTCCTCAAGGCACACGTATCATACGGCACCCCACAAAAACAATTGGAACCTAGGCCTCTGTATCGAAGCTCTGTGTGTGTGTGTGTGTTTGACTGGTTGTCTCACCAAACGCTCAACCGCTACTTGCACATGGCTGAAGGAGCCATTACCCTCGCAGGCTTTTCAGATGGATCTGATCTGGCATACCGTACCTAAGAAACGAACCCCCCTTTCAAAGAGGGGGGCTCCATCCCTGTGAGCGTCACACCTAAAGGTTATTCAGCCGGCCCCCCACGAAGTACCCAGCCGCTTGCTACTTGCGCCGGCTCCCACCTCCACCGCCCTCCTGCGCAAGCTCGTGTGTTCACACGCCTTCACCTGAGGCGCAGGACACCCGAAAACCTCCCCTTTGCCTCCTTCACCTTCCCCACATCTTCCCCCCCCCCAAACATATTCCCTCCCCAAACTCCCAACCACCAAGCCTCCCAACCCATGCCCCAGCCTCGGTCTTGCAAAGGGGGCAGTCGGCGCGCCGGTAGAGCCACAGGTCGATGCAGGAGCGGTGGAAGGTGTGCCCACACACGCTCAGCTTCCGAGCCTCGAGGCCAACAACATTCACAAAGCGGAAGGGGCGTGGCGCAAAAAAACCCGACCCAAAGGACAGACAACATGTCAACATAGGAATCTGCGCCCGGAAGCGACGCAGATTTTGATTCGTCCAAATCACCTCGAAGGCCTACCGGGCCTGGAGCTCTTTTGGAGTAGGGTCCTCACAGCCACCAGAACCAGTCAGTCCTCCATAGGACTGACCCAAAGACCCCAGGTTAGTCTGTATGTCAAAGCAATGGACCCCATGTCACCCCATGAAGGCCTCTGTCCACGTAAACGACCTGCAGAACACTACTTCCACCAAGCCCAATGTCCCCCCACAAGGCCCACGAGGCCCACGAGGCCCTCTATGGGCCCGGGCGTTCTCACCCTCGCAGAGCTCGGTGAGGCAAATGGGACAGTCCTGCGAGCAAGAAAAACTCCCGAGGACTCACGAGCTGCCCATGCGAGGCTGCATAAGTTCGCAAAAGACAAACCGTTGCTTGTGGGGAAGGAGCAAAACCCTCGATCCGAAGCCATGGAACCTCGAGAAAAGAACCCAGCAGGCTCCTTTCTGGGGATGTGGGTGTTTCTGGAAATGAGAGCCCCCTTTTCGGTTGGTTGGAAAGGGAGTCAAACTAAAATGAAAATGTTGGTAAGCACGTGTGCAATGGAAGCTCCCAAAAAAGACCTGGGGAGGACCGGGCAATGCGCAAACACGCAAGAATAGTGAGGTCAGGTTTAGAAGGGGCTCCGCATCTAGCCCAGATTGATTCATGGCCCGGATTTGCTGGGAAGCCATCACAAGAAGCCTTTTGCTGCAAACTGGGGATGTCCTCCGTTCCTAGTTTCACAAGATGCCAACCCCACCCGCAAGATCATTCCCTTTGTTTACCAAGAGGGTGCGCTCTATAGTTGCTTACAAATGGGAGTTCAACTCCTGAATCCTTGGTAAGCTGAATGACGATCTGGCAAAGGAGTTCGTCTATTTGACTTTAGCAAGGGTTCCTTTCTCGAGGGGCTTCAATTCCGATTTCAGGTCGGTGAATTCTGTTCCCAAGTGGGATCCTGGCCTCCATTGTCATCCCGATGTGTTGCAGGCTTGCGGCAATTGGGACGTGGTGATACCCAGCAAGGAATCAGCCTGAATTAGCTAGAAAAATGACGATCGCTTGCTGATCATCCACGTTACAGTTGCTGGACCAAACACCGATGACCAACATACATCCAGAAAGAGCACATTTCAACAAAGCCACCAAAATAAATGAACTCGAACCATAGCGCAAGTTCACTTTAGTAGGCCCCAGCCAAGTCGACTCGGACTTGTCCCCCTGCCTCCATGGCGCAGTCCACCACAAAGAGCCCGGGCAGGGATGCAATCTGCGCGCGCGCGGCGCAAGCGCGACCCTTCCTTGAGGCGATCTGAGGTGGATGTGCGAAGGCTCGTCTGGCCTCACCCTTCATCCAGGAACTGAGGTAGAAAACACCCACATCAAAAACTTAACGGTCGATCCAAGAAGAGGCCAACTGACCGGAAGCCTGAGCCCCAGGTGAGTCATTCGACGCATTGGGCTGGCACTCTTCTCCCTTCAGCCACTCGGCCTGCCCCGAAATCCAAACAAAACGGAAAAGGAAGAGGACATCATCATTTCACCAATGTTCATGTCCGAACCTAAGGATTCTTTCTACCCATGTTCATTTTCTGTGGTTTCAGGGTGGTTCCCTTTTGCTCAGCCTGTAAACCCTTCAGGTCGGCCTCGGAGGCCTTGAGCCCGTCCTCGCTCTCCCGGAGCCCGGTGACGGAGGTGTAGTTCTGGAGCCGGCTCACCTACCCGGACAACAGGGACACCTCAAACGGGGTTCAGGGACCTCCAGGCGTTTTCGGGTTCCTGCTTTCCCTTTACCCGGTTTACCCTTTGGTCTTCGATGTTGAGGGTTTTGTCGGGCAACAGAAGGCTAGTTAAGGCAAATCGTGTCCCCGCCCGCCTTTCAAAAGAGCTCTTGGAGTGCGGTCCCCAAACTTCCGATCGTCAAATGGGCATCCGGGTTTGACCTGGAATCGCAACGAGACCTCGAAACCGATGGGTTTCGCCAGGCCTGGCCCCAGCGCGACAACAGGTCTTGGTCCTGGGCATGGGCTGGGCTGGGCTCAAACCGGCGGAAGTTGCTGCCATTGGGCCGCTTCAAGGAGCCGAATCGGAAGCCAAACGGTGAGTAAGGGAACGAACTGGGCAACCGGGAAGCCCGTCGGGTTGACAGAAAGGAGTTGAGTCCGTTGTCAAAATTTTGAAGGCTGCGATCCATGTCACCAAAACTGGCCCAAAGACAAGACCCTTGATGTCAAACCGTGTTTTCCCCCGCTCCCCTGGCAACGGGCTTGACCAGCCGAGTGCGAGAGATCTATAAATCAGCACTAAAGCTCCGAAAAACCGAATGGCTTAGCCATGGTAATTCAAGCTCGCAAACTCAAAACCATTTGCGTCATTGCAAAGCGCCTTTGCAGAGAATCGGCTTGAGAGGTTGCGGGCTCAACTGCAAGTAACATTCTGGCAGGGCGCTGTGCATCCGATCCAATAACTTTACCACTGGCTGTGCAACGCTTGCAACCTTCCTTCGACAAGGGCCCGTTGCGTCTTCACACGTCTTCCTTTTCATTAGCACAGGTGGTCGCACTCAAAGCGCGCCGCTACCCACCAACTCACCATCGGGATGGTGGTAGCCCACACCAGCAGGAAAGTGCTGAAGGCCCAACATGCTGCCGGCTGCACGCGCTTCTCCTCCACCGTCAAGTGGTGCAGCTCGAAGACCGAGACCAAGGCAAACGCAAGAACGGTGATCAAGTTGCCCAGGGTGGCAAACAGTCCGGGCACCAAGGTAGAGGTCCACATGCCCGCCAAGATGCAAAGCCCAAGGAAGACGTAGAGGATCGGCACGAAGACCACCAAAAACGGGGTTGTCAAGGGCTCATGGCTAAAGAGCACTGCAGGTAAGGTCTTGTACCATGCTGGCACCTGGTCATCTGATCTCAGCCCTTCCAGTCGAAAACGGCCAGCCAACTTGTGTACTAGGAAGATCGCGATGGATGTGGTTGAGGACATCAACAAACCACTGGACAGCGGTGGAAGACTCTGAAGCCAAACCTCCGGCTCCGTGCTGAGAACGTGGATGAAATTGATGAGATTCCCCAGGACGATTCCAGCCTCACTGATGTACGCCGGGATTTCAAGTTTCATCACAAGCTGGCACCCAAACCTTGGAGGGCACAGGACTTGCCTGGGGTCTGGATCAATCGCCGCATCTTTGCTCGCCAAGGGGTACGCCTCAAGATCGCTGTTCATGGCGAGCTTGGAATCGGTCACAGCTTGAGCCTGGCTTGAGCCCCTGTGTTCACACCTTTGAACCACTAGGAAGAGTGAAAACATCATCTGAGCGGTCGAAATCCTTACTGTCCCGGTCAGGAGTTCCCCTAGCAACCCTCATTTGCTGGAGATCCTGGACAAGTTGTGCAACGCCTCCACCAGCCTTAGAACCATGCAACATATAATCAATCTATCTGTATATGTATATGCATGTGTGTATGTATAAATATATATATATATACACATATGTATATGTATATGTATGTTATATGTGTGATGTATTGATATTCATGTAGACATTCAGAACAAAAACATAAAACACGCCTCAACTGCTCTGCATGCAACCCCTAGCGATCGGCTCAACCCATGCCTCCAGCTGCCGCAAGTCACCCTCCGTCCGGCGCAGGCGCCGCTCCAGGTACCTGAGCTGGAAACAATCTCGAGAATTTCAAGCAAACACTCTCAAACATTAGAACATATACATGTGAATTCTCAACATGGGATATCATGCATAGAGAGAGAGAGAGATTGGTATTGGAGGGCCCTAGCATATATATATATATATATATACAGCATATTGTATGTGTTCCGCGTTTAGTGCCTACAGCTGTGATACTGATCCGCGGGGAATGATAGGAATTCAACCATCTTGCGGATACTAGAACAGCTTGAACCCAATTGACAGGGAATATGGGGATCTCAACCTTGTGTTGAGTCGTGTCCAAATTCAACCAAAGCGGACCATCCAATTGAGGGCCCAAGAGTTCCGCTCCCAAATCCCCCGCAAAACATGCCTGTTCTCAGTTGCAGGAGAGGTTCGTTTCCTGTGTTCCCTGAGGTTAACGTGCTAGTTCAGGGGCCAAACTGTGTTAGGAATCTGATTCAACACACTCAAGCCGCCCGGTTACAAACCCCACCTACTTTCTTTTCGTAACAGGTTGGTAACCCTGATTCATTTGAATCCTTCCTTGCGCACATGGAAGCTCAAATTCCCAAAGTCGCAAATCCAAACCAGCAACTTGAGGATACCAGTGAAGTGGATTTCAACACCTCGCAAATCACATGCATATGCCCAGGGTAGCCACAAAGGCCCCAAACACTCTACGAGCGCTTCCCACCCCTCCCCAAGTTGGAAAGCGGCATATGACGCAAGTAGTACAGCCCTCAAATGTTGCAAATAGTTGAGACGTTCTGCAACCTACAACAAAGCAATTGCCTATTCTGGGATGTTCGGAAGAAGAAAAAAATAGCACGCTTCGACACACCTTGGCCTTTTCGGCCTTTTGCTGGGAGCGGCGCCAAGCAACGATGCCCAGGCCGCAGTGGACGAAGATCCACAAGTAGCTCAATGCCTGTCATAAGATCCCAATCGCCGCCAGTGGAACCAGCACCCAATTTCGGAGGTGCTTCCCCAATAAAATGCGAATGACTTCCTTTAGAAATGGTACCCAAACAGGGTCCAGCGAGTGATGATGAGCAACCAAATGAAACCATTCTCAGGAATTCCACCCCTGGCAAGGAGTCACGCAACTGTTCCCCCCTTGGCCACTCCAAGGCTGAACTGGCTGAACGCCTCCTCTCACCCGGCCTGCCACACAATCAGGAACCTGAGGCGGGAGATCACTGAATCACGCCGCCATGGGCCCAATGAGTTCAAGATGTATGTCAAAACTGTCGCAGTCCGTGGCTCGTTTCCGCTATCCCAGAACTGCGGCCACAAGCGCGACGGAGCGACGACGCGCAGCATGTGGGGCTGCCGAATGACTTCAAGACCACCACACTCCAATGCCCCAGTTGGAAAGCGCGAGTAGAACACCCCTGTTCATTGGATGCAGGGCCTTGGGGTTCTTCGGCTTCCAGGGTGCGGCAGCCCTGTCTTGCTCAAACCGCGCACATCCGCAGCCGGCGCAGGTCGTGTCCAGGGTTCCCTGCATTTCCCCTTTGATGCTGTTCAGCAAAACAAAACTCGCTCCAAATTGGCACGCAAGGTGCGACTGAGAGATCTAGGCAAGCGTGGCTTGGGAATATTACAATCGGAAACTCAGGGTTGCTCCCCATTCCAGTATCACATGAGCAACACAATGAAGATTGGCCATATTGACCAGTAATTCTGTGTGCAACTCACAGAGTTATCTTTAATCTTTTGGGGTGGTTGGGCACTGTCTCGCCAGGTTCTCTCCCTTCCCAGAAAGCGTCTCTGGCTTTTGCAGTCTTCTTTTGGAGCAGGAAGTGGCCAGGAAGGTGGCGACTGTCGGCCTTTCCAAGAAATAGCCTTCCGGAAAACCCTTCTGTCCCATTTTCTGACTACTGCAAGGTAGACTTAAATCCATCAACGGTTGATTTGCAATCCCTTTTAGAGTCAAAAAATGGGGTCAAAAACATGCAACCCTGCTGGACCCTGCTGCTGCCGGCTTCCAGCCTGTGAAAAAAGGCCCTTCAGCCCCACCCGACGGCTTTTTGGGGCTTCCGGGCCAGAAGTGGGCGCCCCCGGGCAGGCACTGCGGGGTGTGGCTCATCACCTCCCAGACCCAGGCGGTGCCCACCTCGCGAAGGCAGGGACGGGCGCGCACCTACCCACGGCGGCTTCTCTCCTGCCCGTGCTCTGCCTCTTCTTGTCATTGTATCAGGCCTGAAACTGATTTCCAGAATGCTCGAGCTGGCTGCAACAGTGGAAGCCGCGACCAAAACCCAGCTTTCTCAGTGGTCGACCCACAACCATATAAAGATGCACCAGGGCGTCCGTACCTATTTATTGGGACCCCCCAAGTAACCTTTATTTTCGGTCTTTGTTTGCGGCGGGGAAGCTCGGGGACACCTACAAAAGGTCAGCGAAAACAGCTACGCGCATGGGGGCAGTCCGGCGCAAGAAGCTCTTTCTCTGGAGCCACCGCTCTTTTTTACACAGGACCTTGGCAACCCACAAAAGGTGACTGTCCAGACAAGATGGAACCAGCCTGGGCTGGAAAATTTCTGGGCCCCGGGACCCCAGCATCAAGGTGGAACAGCATGCTACCGAAGTCGCCTTGCCCTTGCTTGGTGGTTTGGTGGCTAGAGTGAATCTTACCCACTCGATTCCAAAGAACTGCGGGTTCAACCCTCCCCCCCCTGCCCGAACAACCAATCCTCACCACCAGGGGCGTCGCGGTGAACAATTGAGCTACCCGGCCATGGACCAAATGGTGAAGGCTGGCAGGATCACCTGGCAGCTTGTTCTTCAACGTTTGGTCTCAAGTGGGTTAAACCATCTGTCGGAGTCAAAACACCTCGCTTCTAGAAAACTCCTCTTGTGGGGTACTTCAATCAAGCGTTCCTTGGCCAGCGCGGAGATGGTTGCTTTTGTAGTATGCCCTGCGTAGACCCGGGTCTTTGGTGTGGTATGCAAAGGGTAGCCCTGAGGTTGTGCTCTCATGAACTTCTCAGCAGGATACCCCATGTAGGAGGAGAGCACACCTCACGGCAGCTGAAAATGTAAGATAGGCCCAAGGACAGTTGCCCGGCAACACAGGGCACTGTCATTGCCAAGCCAGCGAACCACAACAACCATGAGCCCTAGCAACAGTAACCCCATGGAGATGCACCTCCAGTATGTACCGATTCTGTGGTCTGTCAAAACGCAACCCTACCCTTCTTTATGGTTGGTTTGACTGGTTGGATTCGCTTTGTAAACTGCCATAATTGTCCATACATTTGACACGTACCCATGTGTGTCGATAGAGCCACAAACAAGTAGTGGCTTGCTCGCTGACCCTTTCGAAACCATCCAAAACGGGCCACTGAGTTTGACACCTGTCTGATAGCAAACAAATGCTGGTTTTGCTAGCATCCCCATAAACAATGCACACATCTAGGAACCTCAAGGTTGAGAATGTGCCAACAACGGGGTGAATTGTTTGCTGTCTTGGCGTTGTAAGTGGTACGTGAGGTTCATTCATTTGGCCATGGGTCAAAAGCCCGTACCCCCAGTGAAACATCCCAATCCCCGCTAAAATTGACTAAAATGGGTGGTGCACCTACCCCAAAATAGTACCATTGGTTTTGACCCACAGCCATTTCACTTTCGCTACATGCAATGGCACATGAAAGCACGCCCGCCGCGCCAGCCACATCATGGAGAGAAGGAATCGCACGGCCGCGCTTTTCTGGCGCAGGTTCAACCTCAGCGGAAGGTAGCTCCGAAAGCACTGTGAGCAACAGTCCAAACTTGAGTTTTTGGTCTCATTCTCAGGTCCTCCAGCTCTCGTTTTTTTTTTTCTTTTTTTTTTTCTCGGATTCTCCATTAGAAAGTTTGCTGAAAAAGACACCCGCATCAACTCGGGATATAATGACTAATGGCCTTTGCTTGTGTGCTACAATCTTGTTTGGAATTCCATGGTAACTCAACTGAGCAGCTCGCAAATCAATCCCCTCTTCTATTGCTCTGAGCGAAAACACAAATTGGCGGTATCCGCAAAGCCCAACCGCTCTGCTTGCCCCAGCCAAGAATCTCCCTCTCTCTCTCTCTCTCTCTTTCTCCCTTTCCTCTCTCTCTCTCTCTCTCTCTCACGCTGCTTCAACTCAGTGGACGGCATGAATTCGCTGTCATTCTGCGACCTGGGCTCAGCGTGCTCCACTTTTGCGATACTTGCATCGTGGGTTACCTCCGCGGTTTCAATCGGATGCCTAGCATTTTTGTCCGAGCCGAGTAGTCGAGCAACATTCCCTGGCCAGTAGGTGTCCTGGATTTCCATCGAATGTCCCTGCAGCATCCCTTTCTGTATTTGTTGGGGTGTGCCCAAAATGGGAATCGGAGCAGAACCAATGGCAACAGCTTTGTCGACGTCTTTTAAACACCATCCAACCTTCCCCACGCTTAGCTGAAACACCTGCAAACCTGTGCTGCTGAACTTCAACTAAGTCACAGCGTCCGTCCAAGCTTCGTGTTCTGTTGTCCGGAAGAGCATCAAGAACAAGTTGGACCCCGAGCCAAGTAGGTGTCGCACAATAGGCTTTTGGCTCCCACAGAATTTGGTGCTTCAACCACACCCACACCCAAATCGGCTAATTTCCATGCACCGGCCAATGAGAGTACGTGGAGACCGTTGGGCCAGCTTTGTAACCAGACCCTGGTCTTCAGGTTGGAAAGGAAGGGGATGACCCAAATGTGGTGGGAAGCCTCTCGTTTGTCTTCCCCGTCAGCGGCGTATTCGACCCTCCCTCTTGTGAGGGGATACCAGTAGGGCCCCGGCATGAGAGCGCCAGCCACATGCACCAGGCGGCTCATCACAACCAGGCCGTAGCTCAGCAGGAGCCACTGGCAAAGGCGCGAGGCACTTTTCTGCCTGATGAATCTGCATCCACCAGAGCTTCCACAACACCTGCTGTTGTTTTTCCAATCGAGCAAATGGCAATATTGCTTGAGACGGAAAAGCCATACAAACGTGGACCTGTTTTTTTCTCCCACGGGAATCAACCAAAGCTTTCTTGGATTGCCATGGACACAGGCTTGGCAAAGGTGCATTGCCAAATGGAGAGCTGTCGGAGAGCCCTCTCCTCTTGGCTTCCATCTAACACAATCCAAAAAGGGGGTTCGCGTACTGCAGAGAAAGGTTGGATTTTGAATCTGCAATCCGCCGCCCCTATGCCCATGGCTTAAATCTTGGGTGATCCTTCCCCTGTACCTGTCTCAGTCTGAGCATTCGCTTGCACCTTGGGTGATACGAAGCGCGTCTCTCAAAATCCTCCGGGTTTTCCGAGTAACACAGCGGGGACCAAACAGCACTTCCTCATTCCTTCCGCCTTGGCACTGGTGCAAAAACAATTCGCCGGCCGAACGGCGCCTTGTGAATGGGGCGCTGGCAAGTGGCAAAACCGTCCCACTCGTATTGGATGTCGATGCACATGTAAAGAAGCGACCTCAATGGACTCACAGCAGCTGGATACATGGCCCTTTGGAACTGTCTTCACACATTCTGTTGAAAGCAACTTGATCAAGTGTCACGCTTGCCCGGGCAACGAACCCTACGAAAACGAACCCCACGGCCCGTGGGTAATGCGCATCTCTTCCACTGAGTTCCCCTGGCACAACCAAGACGCCATCGTTCCAGCCAACCTGCCGGCCAGCGGCTTGCACGACAGCCTTGGGCATCACTACAAACTTCCCAAGACAGGCAGTACCCCTACAGCTTTGGGTGCTGCAATCCAAAACCGCCAAATCATTCACCCACAATTAGTACCAGACGTCAAAAGTACCGGCTCTATGAACTCTGCCGCGAATCCGACCTTTGGCACATCCCTTCGAGCCCCAGCCTTGGATTCGGCCATGTTTCTTGTTGCAAGCCTCGGGCGGGTTCGCGGTGCAGCTGATTGAAGGGGGTCGCAGGTTTCGAGGGCAGGTGACTCAAACATCATGCGGGCACGGATTCGGAGCCGAACTTATTCAAAACCGGCAAAATGTATCATTCATTGGGTCAGCCTTTAAACGGACCAAGGCCACTTGCGACTGCCCCAGAAGCCACAGAAGCCCCCTGTCAAACGCTTGCCCAGTCAGCGCACCTGCGAGGTGACCTCTACACAGTACCTCGGCACGCGTGCGCACATGCCGCGTCAAAGAAACGAATCAGTGAGAGGAATCTGGGACTTCCGTGGACTCTGCGTGTTTCAAGTTGCATATTACTTTTTTTCCATGTACAAGGAACTCTGTACATTGTATAAGCAAGTGGTTGCATGTAGCCCTGCACCACAAGGGGCTAAGTGACAATCGCCAGCTGTAACGTACCAGTCAAATTGATGGCGCCTCTCGCTTTGCTCGCGATAGGAATGCCAAGAGGCATGGGATGCTTGAATTGCGCAGCCATGCCAAAATCAAACCTTTCTTCGCCTAGGTCCTGTAAGTCTCGATCACATGTGACGGAGGATTCGTGTCAAAAAGGCAACAGGCGACATGAGTTTACTCTCGCCATGCAAAACACAAACAAAGGATCTGCTAAGATCGGACGTGTAGGCATTCAATCGTGCAACTCATAGCACTCGCCGACAAAATGCAAAGCTGTTGCCATCCTCTGCAGGGAGCTGGTCTGCGTAGCTAAGCGCTGGGCGCAGGGGGTTCGGCTTGTAGAGAACGCAAGCAGAAGGGTGGGCGCTTGCGAAGGGACGAGAAGGGTAGAACTTGAGACTTGAAGCGGCAGGCAGACAAATGACTCTACATGTGCGCCAGAGTCACAATGTCCAAGGGTTTGGGGAGGACGGTTCCCCCTTCTGACCTGAGCAGGTCAGTGAAGGAATGGTCCCTGGGAAGGTCTTCCACTAATATTACAGAAGATTGTGTGGATGTGGCTCATTTCAAACTGCAATGTATCAGGACACAGCCAAATGGTCGGCCTAGGTCTCTTGACTGTGGCAACTGCGTTTCTGCTGTTGTTTTCACCCCAAGAAGCAACACAAGACAAGCCATGATGCCTTACGTTGCTCCGCTGCCGGTTGACTTCGGCAATCGGCTGGCGCGCCCATTTTCAATCGCAGATCTGGCGCGAACCGGCCATGGTTGAGTTCTTCAAACTTTGACCTAAAGCCCTGGCTGGAAGCATCGAGAATGGAGCTGCATGCGAAAAAGGCTGGACTCCAGAAATCGGACATCAACCATGCCCCGCGGCTTGCTCGCCCCGCCCCAATTCCGGGATCCCCGTTGAATTCGTGGCCGCTCAGTCGGCCTGAGGCTGGCCCAATCACAAGATTTTGATGTCTTTGCTGTCGAGAGAAGGGTGTTTACTCGAAGCACCTTGGGCTCTTAAGAGGCTCGATGCCTCGATGCCTCCTCTTACCCAAGAGAAGTGCGTCGGGACTCTGGCTGTCAGCCACATGCCACCGGCGATTGAAAAGCTTTTGCGGGTTGGGCAGCCCAGGCCTTCGTTGTTTCGCAAAGGAAGCCAAAGGGAGCAAACAACCAAAATGGCTGGAAGAATCCTCAAGGGGCTATGTTTACCCTCCCCCACGCACCACTGCCATTGTGGTGACTTCAAGGCAAACCCCAGTTGATGTCCTCAAGCTTCAAGCTTCAGGGGACAATCAGACAATCAGAGCCTGGAGTTGCTGCATCCCGAACCTTGGACTGTTAGAAACATGTGCCTGGCTGCAGCGCCAGCGAAAAAAAATAAGTGGAACCAAAAGAGCAGAAGAGGCGCAAAAAGATAAGAGCCAGCTGCGGTCGCTTTGGAAGTCCATGAAGCACCAGTGCAACGGTTGTTGGTTGCTCGTGAGAGGAAAGCAGTAACTGCTGCATTCGCCCCGGCAAAAGGCAACTGGTCCTGCCCCCGCCTCGGTTGAATTCTCCAGCAGCTGGGGTACTCTCTCAACTGCTGCTTCCTTGGTTGTGACAACGAACGGACCCAACAACTCCTCTATTCACTGGGGATACTTCCAATGGCCCGCACAAAGTATGCTTGTCCACCTCATGGGAATCAACGATCAAGGAATATTGGAGCATGCCCATCTGCCATCCTCCTGGTTGAACATCGCCAATCAAAGGCAGGCTGTGGTTCATGCGCGTATATGTTTTACTATATATGTAGTTATTTGATCCCGGGGTTGTTGGTAGCCGCGGAACCAAGGGCTACCCTTGGTCAAAGCATGGTCGGGCTGACCAAAGGGACGGGTTGGAAGAGTGGGAGGGACAAACCTGTTTGCCCAGCTCTTGCGAATCCCCAAAAGGGCTTGACATGGTCAGAGTGATGCTGCAAAATCCCTCCCCCCCCCCCACCCCGCTTTTGCATCATCTTGCCTCCGCCTTGAAGGCGCTCCCGGTACTGAGGTCGCCACCAGCATGAGCCTTGGCAGCTCGGCAGCCCGGGCCTCGAAACGGTGTCAATCCTCTGCGCGAATTCGAAGTTCCGAAGGAGATTCGCCAAGAAAAGCTCCAACTTGGTGTTTTCCACCGATCAGAACGACTTCCTACCAGAATGAGTCCAAATGACGGGAAAGTGAGGCGTTGAATCTCCCACGTCTCGGGGAAAACGAGCTTTCGTTTGGCTCGAGCTCCCTCCTAAGTTCCCTCGATCAATCTAGGCAGAGTGGGCAACATCGTTCAATGTGAGTAAGAATCGCCCATGTTCAATGATGAGAAATATTGACAGTGCTCAGGTTGAAGCCACAAAACTAGCTCCAAACACAAGCTCTTCCTTCCCAATGTCCCTGTTGAAGCAGGTAGGTTCACAAAATCCGGCTATTGGCCAATCTTACCCAACGTTCGAGGAAGGCCTTTGAGGTCTGCCAACAAAGTATACAACCTCTCCACTTGCACTCCACTTGCAATGAACCCTTGTTTCCGGTTCTTGCTTTAATTCCAACCATCTGGGGTTCGACCCCGCCGCGCACGGCCTCGGCTTTCCAGGGATGCCTTCAAGGCCGCGCCTCCATGTCCTGCTCCAGCTCTTGCCACGCCGCTTTGAGCGCCGGTGTCAGAGACCCCAACTGGCGGCGCTGGCTTTTGGGGGCACGTAGCTAGTGCTCAACAATAAACATGAGTTCTTAGAGCGACAGTACGATGAAACAAGGCTAACAAGGCTTCAGAGTTTCGCCCTGCTTCCATGTCGGGCTGGATGAATGGTACGCAGCCACTGCGGAGTTGAACAAAGACAAGCGTGGATCCTTACAATTGATCGCGTCGAAACTCTTTTGGGGGAAGCCAGCCACTCGCTTAGTAAAAGTAGACTTAGAGAGGATTGCCGGGGGTTGGGCAGGAGGCATGTCGCCCTAAAGGCTCCAATTCATGTGACCCCCGTAGTTCCGGCTGGAATGGGTACGATCCCCAAGGATACAAGAAATCGACTGAGACAGCAAATAAGACGTAAACCCTGCAGACCCTGCAGGCTCTGTTTGTCTTCGCGCCTTTGCTCTTAGTCATCTCTAACCTCTCCCCAAGACACGCGTGCACTTGGACAAACCACATTCTGTGGCTGGAGAGGCGCCCCAAAGCTGCCCCAAACCGTTCAACCCTCTGCCAAGCACGCCGGCTTCGCGGCCGGAGAGTTGGGCGGCGCGCGGCAGGTGGCCCCCTCCTCGTAGGCCGCCAGGCAATCCTCCAGGCAGACTTGGGCCGGCAGCGGAGCGGGAGCGGGAGGCGTCTGCGAGCCATCCGCCCAACCTGAAGAGTGCGAGGCGAGCGCGAGCTTGTGCTGCGGTTGGGTGAAAGAATAGCTTTCCCATCTTGACCTACAGGACATGGAAAGCGGGACCCATTTGGGGAGTCCAAAAGGAAACCATCGTGCAAACATGCCAACGTTCTGAAACAATGCCGACCGAATTGCGACAATCGTGCCACTTTAATATTGCTACCTCGAGGTCGGTTCTTCAGGTTCCCTGAATAGATATCTTTTCACCCCAGTTTCCCAAACCTAAGAATACACACACATCTTTGCGACGGTGCGGGTGGTGCCAGGGTGAGCCCCAAACCCCAAACGTAGTTTTGGTCTCAAGACAACCAACAACCCCCCCAAAAACCACGCGGCCTGTGCGCACGCAAGCCGAGCACCGGGCCCGTGGGCATCGGCACCTTTGGCCTCGCCCTGGGGGACCGCGGGCGCAAGGCCTGAAGCAGGTCAGCTTTGGACCTCGTTGGCCCCAGTGTCCGCGGTCTGGTGGTTGACATCCTATGGGCCGATCCTCTCTGAATGCGACGCATCCAGCCCCGGATTGATACAAAGCCCTAGATCGGGGTCCCACGGGGAGCTGAGGCCTCACTCGTCAGGGTCAAAAACTTGAGGTAGCTTGGCATGCCCCAAACATTGTGCAACAAATACTTGTTGAGGGAAACCAGCTGGCCACGCAAACGAGCTTTGCGACCAAACAGATATGTTCCGAAACGTGCAAACCCTGTGGGGTCTCTCGGAAGAGGAAACCGGACTTTTCAGTGAGCCCAGCGAGCCGAAGGCCGAAGGCCGAAGGCCGAAGGCCTCCCGAGGGGAGCCCGGACAGCTCGGACAGCTCGGAGTCAGGCCTGACGGCATGCGGTGTCGGTCAGCGCACCTGCCAGAACTTGCCGTGTGTCCCGTCTGTTTTCGTAGCTCGGAGGTGAAGCGCCACCATGCACAGCAACCTTATCTACTGTCAGTTCATACACCCAGATTAAGTTGTTGTTCCCTCTCCCTCTCTCTTTTTACAGCTCAGGCTTGGCATGACACATCAAAGATGCTTGAATTGAAATGCGGTTGTGTGAGAACTGGAGATACCCCCATTTGCATGCATCCGACTTACTCGTTTGATGTTTGCTCTATATTGAAATGAGACACAAGAGGGGGATCGCTCATTCCCCACGCCAACTAGAAGAAGGCAAAACTGCGCGCCTGGGCCGTGTGCCCTCGGGCTCCGGCATCTGGCTGGGGTTGCATCACCCTGGCAGCGAGAAGCCAAGTGAATGGTCCAGGAGAGTTGGCTGCCAGGACAAGGAGTCTCAGGCAGCTAAGGGACTAACATGATCCCAACCATTCGAAAGGGTCCTTTCTCTTGATCATTCAATGCCCGTACTCAGACTCCCAGCTAGGGTTAGCAATTTGGGAGCCGTCAAGACATAGGCATTGCTCAAGGATTGCTGGAAGATCCACAAAAGGAGCCCCCAGCTTCGAACATGTTACATCTTGGGGGAAGCCATTGAATGCCAGTGGGGTAACACTCATTGTCTGATGATTGTTGCCAAACGGACCCCCAAGCACCTTGAAGGGTAAATTGTTCCCTGTCAACTTCTCAAGGGAACTCAAAACAAAGCCAACCATTTGGGAAAATCCAGCTTTGACACGCAGCCAGGGCATACGAAAGGGGGGCCCATTTGAAGGCCCTTGGGTACCATCTGGGAACCAATAGCCAGCCCATTTGCTGCCCCCGAGAAACACATCTTCCTACTTTGAAGTCCAAACTTGTCATTTCGGTTCCAGCAACCACAAAGCAAAGACAATGCCCGAAAGTTAAAGTTGCCCACTCTGAACGATTGATTCCAATCCTCTGCCAAAGTCAACTGGAACCCTGCAACAAAACGCGAGGCGGCGTTTTGTCTGCGGCGCGTTTTGCCTCGTTGCCCCGCCTTTAAAGGGGTCTCCTTGAAAAGGAACCCACAGAGATACGAAAGAGAGTCCTCACACCCGCGGCCGAGACGAGCGACAAGGGAACCTTGTTGGGCTGCGGCATGATGTTCTCGGCATCAACCTCCGCACGTGATTGTGGCTGGGTCTCACTCCCGGTTCGATCCAGGGTACCCTCCTTCAACCACATCTCGACTACGACATCCTCATTTCAGCCAAAGTCATAGCTAACACGAGGATCTGTTTGATCGGGATTCCCCAAGCTTTACTTTCCACATCAACCCGCCAAATCGATCAGGATGTTTGATACCGCCCACAAAACTCGGTGTCAGCAGCGTTGCTAGCAACCGTTCAGTTTCCGACCGTCTTCAAGGACTGGGCGCGGAAACACTGCCCTGACCTGACATCCACTTGCTTTAGTCGACCCTTATTTGCAAGGCTTTGTACTCATTTCACCTCAGCAAAGTGCATTTGCTGGAACAATATGGCAGGTGCGCTTGTCATTCGGCCATCTTGTGCGCAGTCCCCAGCATGCGCAGTGTGGTGGGCGTGCTTATCAATTGGCCAGCTTGTAGGTGTCTTATCATTGGCCACCCCGTGAAATGCGAAAACGGGTCGTCAACAGCGCCGTCAGCGAAAACAAGCGTAGACTCGGTCTTAAAGTCATGTGTGTTGGTGAGAGAAGTCTTCTGGTGTGCAGCCAAACTATACACAGTGCCCAACAACGCAGACCCTGTGGAGAATTTTGCGGCGGTCGCAGAAATATGCAAGATATTGCCCAATTGCAAAACAGACCAAGCCCGGGTGCAATAACAAACAGATAACGGAAAGGCTTTGGAGCCTTTGGAGGCTTGGAGGGCTAAAGGCACCAGTCTCTCTCACGCCTGAGGGCCCCGCACGGCTTCTGACGTTCACGGATCCCATCCATGCCTGGCACCACGAGGCGCCGAACCCAGATGCCGGATTCCTTCAAAAGCCCCACATAGGCGAGTAGACCCGTAAAACAAACGGATGCGAACAAGGGAAAACCAACAAGCCATGAGTGAGATGTCGAGCCCGGTCAGCGGTCATTCTCTTCCTGCAACATGCAGTTGATTGGACGCGGGTACGTCGAGGAGCTGCTCTCGCATGCCAAGATTCCTGGCAACTCGTTGGGCAAATTATAGCGATCGGGAAAAAACCCTGCAACCATACAAAAGATGATGGTTCCTTTGATGCATGGATTTCAGTCACATCAGTCCAACTGGCCGTGGTCGAAAATCCCTTAGCCCAGTAGTCAACGGAACAACAGGCATGCCCAAGCCGTGCATAGTATTCCCTACCCCTGAAAATAAACATGAGCCCAAGATGGCGTCTCCAAAATCTGAGTATTATCTCAAACACATTTCAAATCTTGCCCGCCTGTTGTGGTTGTGGCAAGATTGGGACACGGTGCACCCAACAGTCCTCGCCGAATCAAAGAACAATGCCCAACGGGTATCAACAATCGTCCTTGCTTTGCTCAGCTTTACAGGAAAAATGGGGGGGGTGGCTGTTCCAGATCGGATTCGGTCCCTTTTGGGAACCTTGGTCTCATGTTGGGTCTCTGCTCTTTTCAGGGGTGCTGGTTCAATGAAGGTGGTTTCACGCATCTGTTGAAATTCACTAGACGACCCACTCCATGGGTATGTGTCAAAATGAACATACCTTCAACACTGGAACCCACCCCCCCCGCCCGGAAAAAATGGTGCCTTGAACCCGGCAGAGCAAAATGGCACGAAGAATATTCCACGGCCTTTCCCGCCCCGCCTCGGGCTTCGGGGGCAGCGCCTCTCAAGATTCGGAATCGTCCGACATGGTTGGTGGCAGATTGGGAATGTCCAATGCAAAGGCGACATGTACCCTCTCTCCCCACTAA